GTCGATGATGTCCTGCTCGCTCAGGCCCAGCGAACGCTTCAGGATGTCCCTGTTCCAGTTGATGCAGCTCTGATGGGAGGGAGGGAGGGATGGACAAAGGGATGGAGAGATGGAGGGAGGAACGGGTGGAAAGAGGAAGGGATGGACAGAGGGATAGATCGAGGAACAGAGAAGTGGAGAGAGGGAGGGATGGATGGATGGATGGGTGGACAGATGGATGGCCACAGGTGGAAAGATGGACATAGTGATGGGTGGAGGAATGGAAAGGTGGATAGAAGGATGGCGGGACAAATGGAGGGATGGGTGGACGGAGGGACAGAGGGATGGACAATAAGGAACGAGAGAATGAAGAGATGGAGGGAGGGATGGGTAGACAGAGAGAGGGAAGAATGGAAGTATGGACAGAGGGATGCAAGGACACAGATGGAGATCGGGGTGGATGGAAAGGAGCCCCCTCCTCCCCTTCCTCACCTGGACATAGCTATTGAATTTCCGGAGCCCTTCGTCAGCCAGAATCTCTGTTATGGTTGTCCTGGGCACTCCTTCCAGTCCTGCAGCACAATAACTGGGCAGGAATTCCTCCCCCAACACATTTGGGATGAGACTCTTGGCTCTGACCCAGGAGCTCCTCCCATTTCAGGGTCACTGCAGTGAGCTCAATCCCAACCCAGGACATCAAATCTGTGCAGCTTTATACTTCATTCTGCTTCATTCTGCCCCCATCCTTGCTGCTGGCAGCACTTCCCAGCCACCAGATGGGTTTGGGGGAGTTGTGCATCCACCCATCCCATTGCATTTTGCAGGAAAAGGGGAAAAATGAATCCACTGAGCCCTGTTTTCCACCTACCCTTACCATGGAACATCGCTGCCTCACCGAAGCCCTCCTCTTGCTTCTCCTTAAGGAGCTGGTAGCAGGCACTGGGGCTGGCCAGGAGCAGCCGAAAACCCTGAGGAGGGAGAAGGGACGAGATGTGGGGGGGATATAAAGGTTTCACCCCACTTCTTCCCCATCATGGGACTCGTTACCTTCCGATCGGGCGCAGGGACGAAGCTGAGGAACTCATCCACGTGGCCAACAGCGAGCCAGTCCGAGAACAGCTCCACTGGCGCCTGCACCTTCTGGGCAGTGAGGAAGTCCTTGACAGCCTTTGCCATCCTCCTGCCACCGAACCTGGGGGGCACAAGGAGGAAGGTGACATTTTGGGGGGCCCAAGGGCATGCTCTGCTTCTATCCAACCTCAAATGGTCCATAAAAACCATTCTATGGGGTTGTTTTCCACTGCTCTGACCCCCCCATCCTGCATCTCACCTGGGGAAGCTGCTGCCGATCAGGATGCGGCCCAAGGGGTATTCCTTGCCCTGCACTGTCACGGGGGGGCTCACCTCCAAATTCCCAAAGGAATCCAGGCTGGAAGTACCCTCCAGTGCTTGCCGGGCCACGTAACCAAAATCAGGGCCCTGGATGGGGGGAGAAAAGGTAGTAAAGGTTAAAAGGAAAAGGCTGCAAGCATCCAAAGTGCAGCACTCCCAAATCATCCTCTGTGCTGGCTCTTCCCTTCCCAAAAATGCCAGGAAAATTGAGATTTGTCACATTTTTTTATGGATTTGCAAAGCTTTGTGCCTTCTGGGAAGGAAGAAGGAAGGGAACATGTACCAGGATGCTCTTGACAGGGAAATCCTTCAGCCCCCTGTCACGGGGCGAGTCGAAGACGACGGGGAAGGTCTTGTGGGGAGCTTGCACGTAACCAAATTCAACTTCATCCTGGAGAAGGAAGGGATGGAGGAGATGGGAGGGAGCTGCTGCAGCGAGGCTGGGGCTGGGCATCATCCTGCACCCACCTGGATCCAGCGGTCCTGGCGGTTCTCCAGCAGCGGGCACACAGTGAGCGGGCACTTGGCTTTCTCAGCCACAGCACCCACAGCCGCCACGAAATCCTCATTGTTGTCCACACTGGGAAGAGAAATGGGATATAGGATTGATCCAACATCAGGCAGGATGCGGCCACCCACACAGCACCCACCTGCAGACAAAGACCTCCAGCGGTGCTGAGGTGTTGGGGGTCATGATCCACGGAGCCATGCGGAATACCACGGTGTCGGTGAAAATGGGAGTCTCCAGCAGCCCCTGGGTGGCAGAGGGACGGTGTTTGGGCTCTGCTCCCCCCAGCATGGCTCAACTCAACCCCACCACTGCAGGTACCTTCTCAGGGCTCTCCAGCAGCGTGACGTGGAAAGCCACCAGCCCCGAAAAGCCAACATCGGGGAAGGCGAGTCCCTCCACGTAGAAGATGCTCTCCTCCTGATGCCGGCTGGGTTTGATGGTGTAGGTGAGCTTCGAGCCCCCCAGGACGTGCTTGTACTCCTCCAGTGCAACACTGTCTGTGGGTACAACCCCTTTAAGCAGCTGAACCCCTTTTCTGCAGCGTTTCAGCTCTATTTTCTTTGCTAAACCCTTCCCAAAAAGGTGTATGTGATCCCATGGAGATTGCACAGCAGGGACCATCACCCAGTGCCTCAGATAAACCCCAGCACGGGATGTAGGTTGGATGCTGAAGAAGTGGTACCTGCTCTGCTGCAAGGATTTTGCTTGAACCCCAATAATTAGGAGTGTTTCCCCCCAAACCCCAGTGTTGGGCACTCACTGCCGCCGTAGAAAACCCCGACTTTATCAGCATCACTATAGTCCACGTGGAGGACGAGGCGGTGGCCGGTGAAGATGGTGCGGGGGCCTCGGGTGCGCAGCACCATCTGCGACATGTCCTTCAGGTCTGGAGGGGGGAAAGGGGTGTAAGAAAGGAAAATCTGGGGGGAAAAAGCAGGAAAAGGAGGTTTGTTGTGTGGGATGTGCTGGTACCAGCATAAGAGCGGATGGCGGTGTCGCTGTTATCCGGCGTCGTGGCTGCGGGATCATCGCGGTCGCAGTTCACCAGCAGGATGGCTCCGTGTCCATCAGGACCCCACGTCCACGTTGCCTGGTGAAGGAAGGGACAAAACAGGGCTGGAGGGGGTCAGTCATCACATTCCCCATTCCATGGTGGTCCTGGGGGGCTCCCACCCCGCTTTATACCTTATCCAGCAGCGTCCTGCTCACCGTCCCACCGCGGGTGGTGTCAGCATCCAGCGAGACCTCTGTGGGGAGAGGGATGCTGAGGGGGGACATCCCCACCAGCACCATGGTTTGGGGTTCCCCACACTCACTTACCCACGCAGGTGAGGTACAGCATGGCTCTGCCCACGGGCACCCCGCCGGCCTCCCCGAAATATGAAATCCTGACCTGCAACAAGGAGCGGGTGCTCAGCACGGTGCAAATTGGGGTCGCATCCTGCGGGGGCACCAGCACCCACCTTTTCATCACCCACATCCTTGCTGAGAGCATCCATGGCCAGCAGCACCTCGGCACCGGCGGCCAGGGGCCAGCGGCTCACGCTGGAGGGCAGCTTGACGCTCTGCGTGTCATGCACCACATAGAGCTTCACTCCTGGTGTTCCCTGCACGTGGAAGGTAACAGCGTCTTTGGGTGCGGATCTGGGAAGGGAAAAGCCAAGTGAGAGTCCCAAGTGGGGCATTGAGGGAATGATACAGTGTGTGAGCATCTGCAGTGATGCAAATCCTGCCACGCGCGGGAAATACCGCACGAGGTAAGGAATCCTGCAACGTGCCATGGCAACAAGTGGTGCCGAATGCAACGGATCCTGCAAAATGGGATTGCAACAAGTCCTGCAACATGCAATGGTCATAAACACAAGAGGGACGTGGAGCTGCTGGAGTGAGGCCAGAAGATGCCCCGGAGCTGCTGCGAGGGCTGGAGCAGCTCTGCTCTGGAGCCAGGCTGAGAGAGCTGGGCTGGGGCAGCTGGAGAAGAGAAGGCTCCTCAAGGGGACACCTTAGAGCAGCTCCAGTGCCTAAAGGGGCTCCAGGAAACCTGGAGAGGGGCTTTGGACAAGGGATGGAGGGACAGGCCAAGGGGAATGGCTTTAACCTGCCAGAGGGCAGATTGAGATGAGCTCTTGGGCAGAAGTTCTTCCCTGGGAGGGTGCTGAGGCGCTGGCACAGGGTGCCCAGAGAAGCTGTGGCCGGCCCCATCCCCGCC